GGGGGGGGGGGGCAAGCACAGCGGCAGGGATCCAATGCAGCCAAAAATAAAAATTAATTAAATACTGAACAATTCAACTTAACAAATACTTCTTCCCTTCAATAAAGGGAACCCTAAAAATACAAAGTCCTGAAAAGAAAGTATTTAAAATAACACAGTATGACACACAATTTAAAGGTCAACTTCATTTTAGTGGAGAGTAACTTTTCAGTACAATGTTTTACAAAGGGCTGAAAATGGTTACTTACTGGAGGGAAAAGAGGGACTCTAAAAAAATGTTTTAAAATAAAAAGTCACTAAGTAGAATCTTTTCATAAACTGTTGCTTTTCATTTCAAAAGAAATGTTACTTATTTCAGTGATAGGTTCTAGACAAAGTATAAAGATTTATAATACCAAATATAAAACAAAGAAAAAATTTTAAAATATTTGATTAATGTTTCCACTGTCTTACACATTTAAAGTCTAAATGCCACTGACCCATATAAACGTGGTTCAAGTTTTTTTTTAAAAAAGCTGTCAATATTGGGGCTTCCCTGGTGGCGCAGTGCTTGAGAGTCCGCCTGCCGATGCAGGGGACACGGGTTCGTGCCCCGGTCCGGGAGGATCCCACATGCCGCGGAGCGGCTGGGCCCGTGAGCCATGGCCACTGAGCCTGCGCGTCCGGAGCCTGTGCTCCGCAAATGGGAGAGGCCACAACAGTGAGAGGCCCGCATAACGCAAGAAAAAAAAAAAAGCTGTCAATATTTTAAATACTTGTAAGCTGGAAATCAATAACTACTATATAGATCACAAGACACAGAATGGATAATCAGTTATCAACCAGACACATCAAAACTTAGAGAAAAATCTCATGTTCTCCTAAAAATTAAACCTAAATTAAGTAGAATTAAATGCATACCCATTAAATCCAGTGACAATTTTCAGTATCCTTTCCTTCATTTCATCAAAGGGAATATATTCGACATTAGGGTTGGGAGGACCTCTTGGTTCAGGAGCTGAAGTTCTGAAATCATCCATCACTTTCTCCAGTTTGAAAATAAAATAGCCTTTAAACTGGGACCACTGAATCCTATAAGCAAAAAATTAAAAAAAAATATATAATACCATGTAGGGTCACAATTCTTGAACAAAAAGCACAAATACAGAATTTACCATGACACTAATGCTAACAAAATTAAGATCTGGAAAGTAGTCATGAAAATGTCTTCGTTCAGTAGCCTGCACCAAGCCTGATCAATCTGACTCACAAGGTCCACTGGGTTCCATCCAATTCTCCCAAACTCCAGACCCAAACAAAACCTAAATCAGATTAAAATCTTTAAAATTAACTACTTCTGGCTGAAAGCTTCTTGTCTAAGTCCCCCTCTCCACATTTTAAAAACATTATCTTGTTCTGACTCTATCTATCCCTCATAACAAACCTAACCCAGGAGGCGTTACTGCCCCCATTTAAAAGAGGCTATTGGAAATTGGCCCAACTTTACATTTATAAATTTAAGTGGACAAATGAGAATGACTCCATACCCTAAGCTCTTAACATCCAAGGTATAATGCTTATATAGACTAGTAAATGTTTCTTGTTTTTTATCTCTTAAATAGCAAAATAAACTTCAATTTCTCCTTTTTCTTTTGCTTTCTACTAAAATTTTTAGTATTTTGTCATTTAAAAGGTATATATCATAGGTTCTAGCCAAGATGTAGCCTGCAATGTAAAAAAATACATAATATCCTTGTGTAATGTTCACATCTGTTCATGAACTTTTAATATAAACATCTTTTTACCCCTGCTCCCTCACATTTTACCACTAATATAAGGATATTTTGTGATACCTGCCTAAATAGCCTAAAGTCTA